CTCACGCACCAGCATGTCTCCCCTGGCCTGGCCTCAGACCGTCTCGCGGGGGGCTTGGGGTGGGTGCTGCGCTCACCTGTCTGGGGCCTGGGGAGGGTGATGTGGTCGTGCGGCTTGGGGTGCATAAGAACAAAAGGCAGCTCCACAGAGACGTCCCTGCGGGGGGGGGCGCGCATGAAGGGCCAACACCGCCGCACCCGGAGGAGACCCCCGCGCCCCACGTTCCCCCGCACGCTCACCCGCCGCGAGACACCACCAGCTTCACTTTGACCCTGTAGGACACCAGGATGCCCAGCACCTCCTTGTTGGCGCCCTCCTTCACGCTGCAACGAGGCGGGAGCTAGACCACGGCCCACCCCTGGGGCTCCCGTGAGGTTCTGGGGACCACATCCCGGGGCAGTGGCCTCCAGCAGCATAGGCTGTGCTGTTCTCACGGCCCAGCTCCCCGCGGCGCCGCCCTGCACGGACCCCGCCTGTGGCTTCTCCTGTCTCGCGGTAGAGGCCGTCGTCCTTGTGACCCGACAGCCCGGCACCGTCTTGCTCCCACGCGTCCTCGCAGAGACCGGGCCTGGGCCACCTCTGCGCCTGCAGGTCCCTCCGCCCGGAGCGCTCCTCGTGTGGCCGCGTCACCGACTTACTCTGGGTCCCTCCTCAGAACTCAGGCCCGGGGGATGCCTCCCCCCGCCGGCCTCTTTAAAGTGCACACACGCTGCCCGCCCCCGGTTCACCCTCCCTCCTCTGCCTTGCTTCTTCTCCACGCTCCTCACTCGGCATGCTGTGGCTTTCACTGTTGATCTGTCTGTCCTCCCCCTCTAGAATCTCTGGTCCGTTCTGGCCCCGATGGCGCCCTGGCGCCTAGGACAGAGCCTGACACGCAGCTGGCCCCCCACGCCCCCATCCAGCCCGCGCTCACATGGTGCTGGAAGCCAGGTTGGTGTCCTCGTGCTTGAGCTTCCCGTCCAGGGCAAGACCTCGCTTCTCCCGGTTGTCGCTGAGCAGCGGGGTGATGGTATACACCTTGCAGAACGTGGAGCTGGGGGACACCTGATCACTGGGGAGTGGGGACAGGAGAACGAGACTCTGGGGGGCGGGCCGGAGAGGAGGTCACTCCCGCCCCCAGCGGCTTCTCCCCCGCCGCTAGCCTGGCTCCGTTTGGGTGCCCAGGTAACAAGCCGCTCAAGAAAATGAGCAGCTCAGAGCCAGCTGCCCATGCAGGGGATGCCCTTGGAGGTGGGGACGGTTCGATCCCCGCCTCACATTCACCCAGGGCTGCTCCTCTGCCCCGAGGTGGGCACCGGGCTGTCGTGTTACTCACTCTTGTTCGATCTGAGCCACGGGACACTTGTACTGGGCAGTGCTGAAGAGGCAGATGTCCGCATACTGTCTCACTGTGGGGTGGGGTGGGGTCAAGCAGCCGTGCTGGGAGCGCAGGCTGCCCCCCCCGGGGCTGTGTCACATTCTGGGGTGGCCTCCTGCACTGGGGGGTGTCCCTGGGCTGAGATCACACCAGGAGCCACGTGGGCAGCAAGTCCCGCCCCCAAGACCCCTTCTGTCCCCCACCTCCTACCAGAGACTTTGATCTTCTTGATGGTCTTGGTGGAGTTGTTGGTGACGTGGACGTTGACACTGAGGGGCTCCCCGTGGTAGTAGAGCTTTCGAGGGGAGGGGGTCAAGTTAACGCGATCTGTTTGCCCTGGTCCCATTATTAGCGTCCGCCCTCCCCCAACGCAGACCGGAGGCTTGGTCTCCCTCTAAACCCAAGCCCACGCCCACGCCCAGCTGAGGCGGCCTTCTTTAAAAACACCGTCCTGGCAGGTGGCTTCAGCCCTCCCCCCAGGGTCCCTCTGCACGGGGACACCTGCGTCACCCTCCTGCACCCCACCTCCTTGTCCAGGGAAGCCTCAAGGTGCAAGGACCGGTCGGACATGAGGAAGTGGCGTGTGGTTTCTGCTGAAGGCTGGGGGCCGGGTTTCTCTGGGGCAAATTGCACCTTTCGGATCACCAGACGCACAGAGTTCCTGGGGGTGGGGAGGAGGGGTGGGAGGGGCCGGTCCTCAGACACCCGGACCCCCACCACCGCCTTCCCTGGGCCTGGGGCTCCAGGGAGTGGGGGGGGGGGACAGTCACAGCACAGGGGAGCTTGCTTCCCTCACCTTTTGTGGCTTTTCTCTTCTAGTGATTTGGCACAGAAGGCTCGAATCTCAAAGTCTACTCCACAGGCCTCGGGAGGAGAAAAGGTCACATCTTACACAAGGGCCCGGCCCCCACGCCCTTCCTTCCCTCTCCCTTTGCCTTCGTCAGGGACTCTTGCCCCATCGCGGTCTGCTCTGAGCAGTGCAGGGCCTGGGGCTTCGTCCTCTGCCTCCCAAAGACCCAGTACCTGGCAGAGCGTCGGTCCTGTCTGCAAGGTGAGCCCCTATACTCACCCGTGAGTGCCCAGAGTCACCCGTGAACAGATAAACCATATTTCCACTGGGGGCATGTCCCATCTGGCTTCTCCCTGACAGCCCCCCTCTCAGTGTGTCCCAGGCTCCTCATGGAGCCCGTTCTGTCCCCTGAGCCCTCGGACCCATTCCCGCTGTACCTTCCCCGTGTCCTCGGGGCCTGGCTGCAGGGTGACAGAGCAGGGCAGATTCTGGGGGATCTGTGGGGAGGCAAGGAGAGGCTTCAGTTCTTCCAGAGAGCCCCCAAATCTTTCTCCCAATTCCCACTAAGAGGCTGGAGGAGAAGTCCCGGGAGGTGAGAGAGGAAGAAGGAAGGGGCCCCAGGGAGGAGGCAGAGACAAGGGTGACCCTGCAGGTGGGGGGGGGGTGGTCTAGGGCTTCCTCCTCACTGTTGCTTCCAGATCTGCCCGGAACAGGTGCCTCAGCCCCCCTCCCCCAACTCAGTCCCAGACCCCTTGCCCTGCAGAGGGTGAGGGGCGTCCTCACTGTGAAGAAGAAGGGGTGGGCATGCCGGCCCAGCTTCCTCAACAGCCGGTCCTGCAGGCGGGTGGGGGGCCGCGGTGGGTTGGGTACGGGGGGGAAGGCCTGGTAGTTGGCGATGAACAGGTCTTTGCGGAAGGACAAGCCCAGCACGTCCAGGTCCTCGCGGCCATAGCGGAAGGCGCAGGTGAGGGTCACAAACACTGCACGGGAGGGCAAGGTGGGGCCGTCAGGAGCCCCTCCGGCCCCAGCCCCCCAGTCCCCAGCAGCATCCAACCTGCCTGAACCCGACTTCCCTCTTTGTCTTGGCCCTCTGTCTCTCCGGGGTCCGTGTCAGGGCCAGCCCACCCCACTGGGCCACCCTGACCTCCCCTGGGCGCCCCCCACACTCAGGCCAGTACCTTTGCGGTCCTTCAAGTAGTCAGGGTCCACGAGCACCACACCATCTGGGAAAGGGACACACGAGCTCACTTCCTGTCAGGGCCTCGCCTCCATCCCTGGGCCCGGAAACCTCTCCCCATCTTGGGGGCCCCAGCAGTACTTTCTGGGCACACTTACCTACGGGGTCCACTTTGTCCAGGTGGTCTACAAAGTCCCGCTTGCCCAAGTACACGGTGAGCTGAGGATACGGAAGGGGCACATGGAAGTTGGGGCAGGAGGGTGCGGGGCATCAGAGCCCTTCAGAGTGACTGTCCCGCCCCGGTTTTTCCCAGGCTGGGGTAGCCCCGGGGTTCCTCCCAGCAGGGTCAGAAGCGGAGAGTGGTGGGGTTTCCCAGATTACCCACCCTTGAAGCTTTTCGCACCTCTGCCCACAAGTCAGGCAAGTGTGTGTATGAGTGTCTGTGGGGTGGGGTGGGGTGGGGTGGGGTGGTGGTGGGGAGAGGGCTTGGGGAGGACTCGTGCCCCCCCACCCCCAGCCAGTTAGAGAGCAGGGTGTGGTCTCACTGGCTCCCCTCAAGGGGCTCTGGGACACACAGGCCATAGCCTGGGGGCTGCTGACTGTTCACAGCCCAGGAACCCTGGGCTGGCTCCCAAGAGGGGTATAGCCTAGGGCTTCTGGCTCCTACCCCTTCATCTTGCCTAGGGACCCGGACCTGTGCCCACCCAGCCCAGTGTCTGGCTCAGGTTGAGCGGCCTTTGCGGCAAGGGGCTTCAGGAGGGAAGGAAGTCGGCTCTTAGCTGTCACAGGAAGTGGGGAGCTAGGGGTTGGGGATCGGCTAGGGGCAGGCTGGGCCTTGCAGGGGCCCAGAGAGGGCTGGGAGGAGAAGCAGCATGGGAGACTCACCTTGCAGTTAGGGCTCGACTTCTTGAAGACCCTAATAAAACAGAAAGGGAAACCCCTCTCCCTCAGACTGCGCGGCAGGGACCCCCCACACCAGCCCGAGAAACCAGAGCTCACCCGGGACTCTGCCTGCAGGCTCTGGGGCTTTGCCAACTCTACCCCTCCCACTTCCTCCCAGAAGGAGGGCAACCACAGGTCCTTGATATTCCCATTCCCAACGCAGCGGTGGTGCCCCCCCCCCCACCTTCCACCCTCACTAGGTCCCCTCCTCCCGTGGCAATGGCCCCTGGTTGCCACAGGAAACACCCGGGCTCTTTCCAGAGCACTTGCCCTAGGGGGTCCGAATGGGCAGGTTGTAGGAGCCTCTAAGACCGAACCCTCTCTCCATTGTCTCCCGTCTCTAGCTCCAAAGACAGCTGGAGTACCCAGAAGGGCAATGGCCCTGGCTTTGGCCCCTAAAATGGATTCTACTTATAGGCACTACTCAAGGGTGACCCGACTCCATGAACCTCCAACTGTCCCCATCCCTGATCTCAGCAGCCTCAAAGCCTATTTGTTTTTGAAGGCCAAGCTCAGGTATCACCACCCTTAGAAAGCAGACCCAGCCCGGACCCCGGTTACTCCTTTTTTTGGGGGGGGTTCCTGTCACACTAGCTTATGTTTCACTGGTGGTGTGATGGCCGTGAGCTGTATTCAGTTAGGCTCCCCCAGCATGGCGCCGGCCCTACGAGAGAGACGATCATGCCAGCTGACATGGGTCGGGAGAATGCTCCACGCTCCGCACTGTTTCAAGGGCTCCGTGTGTGTTATCTCACTTAATACTCTTAGCGACCCAGTATTCCTAATCTACAGGTGAGGGAACCGAGGCACAGGGACTGAAGGATTTAGCCTAAGGCCCCAGAGGGTGTAACTGGTGGGACTCAGATGAACAGAGGCACTCTGGCTCTGAGCCCATGCTCTTCATCACTAAACCGTTATACTCTCCCGTCTCTGCAATTGGCATGAAATTTGTTGAATTGCAGGGGATTCGCTCCCCTGAGCTGAGACAGTCTAAGCCTGGACTCTCCCCACTGCTGAGAGCGTAAGTAGGTGTCTGGTGATTCCTGTGCTCTGGTCGCTTGCAGGTCTGACCTTCCTCATCCCAATCCACTCTGCCTCAGCAGCGATCCCTGGGAAAGGTCCTCGGCTAGTAGAAACTGAAGTCCTGCCGACCGACCCATCCTTCCTCCAGCACCCCCCACCCCCCAGTTTTGCTCTAACAACTTCACTTGCCACTTCTTCCTAGAAGGTCAGACTGTCCAAAGGCCATAAGACAAAGGGTATGGTGGCCCCCAGGTATCCCCATCCAATAAAGGAGAGTAGACACTGGTATGGTGGCAGCTAGAATAAGCACCCAACCTGGGGGCAGACAGCTATGGCATCATCCAGCTCCCCCTCCCCTTCGCTTCGTTTTCCTTTTTGTCCCAGGGTTTCCTCCTATTAGGGAGAAAGCCATCAGATTGTGCTTTTGGGGTAATGGCCCTGGAGCGCCTGCAGGGCCACCTGCCCTTGGGAGGCGACGCTAGGGAGCAAGTACGCTTGCTTGTACGCTAAGGCTGGCCAAGGAGGCAGAGTGTGGGGGTGCCCAGAGGTGCCCAGTGAGGGGGCCAGCGACAGCAGATGTTCTCTCCATTTCCTGTGGCCCAGAATTAGATGGGGGTGGCAGGAATTGTGCCAAGTCAGCAGCCCCCCTCTGGCCCATCCATCCTCCTCCCTGAACCACAGAACGGAAACTGGGGGCCTCCCTCGAGTCAGCGACTTCCCCTTCTCTGGGGGTGTTTAAGCCCTAATCCAGGACACCAGTCCGCCCTCCGATAATCTCTCTGATACGACTCAACTTGGTGCTCAGAAGCCTGGGTTCTCCTCCTCTATGGGTGGGGAGCGGTGGGGCTGAAATGATAATGTTTGGAGCACAAGTGGTGTCTTGGGACCAGGGCCCCATTCCTGATCCCGTCTGGATAGAGGCATACAGCCCCAATCTTTTCCTCTTTTGCTCCTGCTCCCCAGGGACTCGGGCATTCACCCACTATCCCCTTGGGGGTGTTGGCCCACAACAGGAAGTGGATTTTGCTAGAGACCAAAAAAGAGAACTCGGGGTATCAGTGGAAGGAAGGAGCCTCGATTGCACAGAAAACATCCGGGGAGTGGATGGCGTGCCCAGGGCAGATACTGCCCCCCCTCACCTCTGGGAAGAGGGGTAAGGCCCAGAAGCGGGGAGGGTCGTCACGCACTCTGCTCCCCCAAGATGAGGCTGTTGCTCCTAGCAACCCGGGGGAAGGCAGAAGTTTGGAAGCAGAGCCACCTGGCCCTTGGGACAGCCCGACTGCCTGTGGGGTACTGGACAGGAGGCTCTCCCGCAGCTCGGCACGAGTCTGGGGGTGGGTGGAGAATCCCCTCCCGGCATCCAGCCTTCCCATACCCGACCCCTCGGGGCCGGCCACCTGCGCCTCCTTCCTCCGCCCCTGCATCGCAGGCTGCACCGGAGAACCCAGTTGTCCGGCCCCCACATCCCTGCGAGAACCCAGACGCCGGTTTCCTGATCCCCTTCAGCCCTCGCTTTCTGCAAGGGCCCTGGCATGCGTCCCCCTCATTATCCTCGAGGACCTAGGCGTGCGGCCCCAGATGGCTGCCCCCCTAGGGACCCAGGCGTCCGGCCCCCGGGTTCTCTCCCCGGTGTCCTTGTCCCGGGACCGTCCCGGCACCCGCCCCGAGCCGCCGCCCACGTCCCGCCGCGTGGCCCCACCTCCCTTACCTGGTGCCCGGTTTCTCCCCCATGGTGCGCGCGCCCGCCGCCCGCCGCCCGCCCGGTTCGCGACTCGCTCGCAGCCTCCCAGCCTGCTGCCAGGTCCCTGCTCCTCCCCGCGCCACTGCGCACGCGCGCCCTCCGCTCTTTCTCCTCTCCCCCGCCCCTCCGGCCCCCTTGCGATCCCGGGGAACCGCGGCCAGATGCGTCAGCCCGGACCGCGCGCGCCGCGGCGCCGCCCGCCCTCTCGGCGCAGACACGCGCGGTGATTGGCTCCGCCCCCGCGCCCACCCCGCCGCGGCCCCGCCCCGCCGCTCCCGAGGGGTCCCCTGTCCCCGCTCTGCCCGCCCCTCTCTCCGCCCCTCCGCACCCCCGTAGGAACCGATTGGGCCCCCCGGAACGAAGGCGCCCGCCTGCCGGGAGGTGAGAGCCCCGTGATTGGCTCCCTGCGCCCCGGACGCCGCGGGGGTCCCCTCCCCTTTGTTTGCTTTCTCAGTGGCGGTGGAGGCGAGGGAGGCGGTGGGGGCGGAGGAAGGAGCTCCCGCACAGTCTGGGAAGATGGATGAGGGGATGCACACGTGGGTGAGCGGCTCCAGTTGCGTGACGCTGTGCTTCGGGGCGCGCCGCTCACCCCAGTACTCGCAGCCTTCTTTGGCCCTCCCTCCCGCCTCTTTATTGTGGTGTGTCAGCTCCCTCTGGTGTCTGTCTTTCATCTTCCACGGGGTTACTCTGCCTGGTTTCTCGGACTACCCACCCCTTCCATCTACTCGCATCACAGCCAGCATCCATCCATGTATCCATCCAAGCATCCATGCCTCCATCCGTCCATCCATGCATCCATGCACCCATCCATCTATCCATGCATCCATGCACCCATCCATCTATCCATGCATCCATGCATCCATCCATCCATGCATCCGTCCATGCATCCATGCATCCATCCATGCATCCATGCATGCATCCATCCATGCATCCATGCCTATTTCGTGCCAGTCACTGTGCTGGGCAATGGATTCACATGGCCTCTGCTTTCCTAGCACAGTTCAGGAGACACAGAAACAGGTATTATGATCCCAAGAATACTATAATGGAGGTATGACTCAGAAGACAAAGCGACTACCAGCGCTTGACTGGGGCAGGGTGGAGGGAGGTGACGCTGTCCAGAGGAGGAGACATTTGAGGACAATCTTTCTGAAGGGTGGGCAGACATTGAGAAAGGGTGTTGCAAAGACAGATAAAGGCAAGGTACATCCTCTTCTGAAGAAGTGTTCGTGGGGTTCCACCGCAGGAGAGATGAGGTGGAGGAGGAGGACTGGAACAGAGTGTGAAGGATTCTGTATAGCGGGTGAAAGAACAAGACCGAGGTCGTCCCTGGAGGAGGACACTCGGATCCAGTACTGGCTTTTTTTAAGCGAAAGACTGGCACGATGAGATTTCTCCTTCAGGAGGATAATTCTGGGCAATGTGGAGGGTGCAGAGAGTGGGGCAAGGTTGTCTGGACTAAAACTAGTCAAGAGGAGAAGAGGGGCCAGGCAGAAGAGCTATGCTAGGGCAAAATGGACTGGACCTGGGGCAGGATGATGGGTCCCTGACATTTCGGGATTTAAGGAGCTAATATATTTCTCCTTCTTCCATGTCTTTTCCCATTCTCCCCCTGTCTTTCCCACCCAAATGAACTAACTTCACACTTCTCCCTCCACTTTTCTGCACAACAAAAAGTAATACGCACAGCGAGATAGTTTCTGAGATCATCTTTAAGGTCCAAATGTCTTACCTGATAGGAAATAAGACGAAGTCAGGGAGGGAGACAAACCATAGGAGACTCTTAGCTATAGGGAACAAACTGAGGGTTGCTGGAGGGGGTGGGGTGGAGGGCTGGGGTAACTGGGTGACGGGCATGAAGGAGGGCATGTGATGGAATGAGCCCTGGGTGTTACATGCAACTGATGAATCACTGAGCTCTACCTCTGAAACTAATTATACACTATATGTTACCTAATTGAATTTAAAGAAAATAAGTTATTAAGAAAAAGGTTCAAACATAAGCTCTCAGTTCTGTCACCACCTTCTAAGCTCACCCTTCATCCCTTTCAAGCTTGAGAGCATACATTTCTTTTAGACTCATGAATCACTTTAGTCGAAGAGTCATGACCAGAAGGTAATGAGATCCACATTGCTACATATCTAAAGTGATTTTGGGGGACGCCTGGGTGGCTCAGTCGGTTGAGCATCTGCCTTCGGCTCAGGTCGTGGTCCCAGGGTCCTGGGATGGAGCCCCACATCGGGCTCCCTGCTCAGCTTCTCCCTCTCCTTCTGCTGCTCCCCCTCCTTGTGTTCTCTCGCTTTGTGTCAAATAAATAAATGAAATCTTTTTTAAAAAATGGTTTTGGGACTGAAAGGTAGTGGTCTGTATGGCATGAAATCTACTCTATTAAAAAGTACTGATATAAAGAAAAATTTAGAAGGATGCTAAAGAAGGCTAGAAAGAATGAAAGAGATGCACCATATATAGGTGGGAAAACCTATCATTATAAAGCCGTCATTTCTCTGCAAATGGTGTATAAATTTAACACCGTATCAAAATAGCAATGGGAGGCTGATCCAAAGGTAGTGAGTTATCTCAAGTGATGGTTCCCAGTTACAGATTGAACTCCTTGTTCTACTCTTCCCCTCCCCCCTCCTCACTACTGCACTTGACTAGTCTTTAGAAGTAAATGGATGACAATGGGACTTTTTTGGGGGGAACTTGATTCCAAACAATCTGAAGAATCAACTCACAAGTTTAGCTAGGATAATTCTGAAAAATAAGAGTAAAGCAGGCATTTGTCTTACCTGATAATTTATTAACTTACAATAATTAAAATTGTGTTATTGGTGCAATAATACGAAACAGAGCAGTGAAAGAGAATATGGGATCCAGATACAGACTCACATGGTAGCGTTTCAAGTCAATGGAGAAAGAATGGCATAGTCACTAAACTGGGTTGAGACAGTTGGCTCTTCATTTGGGAGAAAAAAAGTGATAGCTCTCCATCTCACACCTTAAAATAAATTCCGGATGGGTTAAAGATCTAAATGCATGGAATTAAAACTATAAAAGTATTAGGAGAAAAACAGGAAAATATTTTTATAACCTTGGAAGTTAGGAAAAGCCTCACAAGACATCAAACCCCAGGGCTATAAATAATACCACCTAACACTTTATAGTATTAACCACGTGCCAGACATTGTTCCAAGCACTTTACAAATATCAATTCATTTAATACAGCTCTATGCATTAAGGTTTTATAATTATCCCCGCTTTACAAATGAGGAAGTGAAGGCACAGTTAAGTGACTTGCAGGTTCATACAACTAGCAAGAGGCAAAGCTGGTGTCCGAACCCAGCAGTCCAGTTCAGAGTCCGTGGCCTTTATCGAAACACCCTACCTCAAGAAGACTAAGAGATTAAAATAAATAAAATGACAAATTGGAAGAAGCCTCTTGTGACCCTGCAACACGTAACAATGGAGAATAACTCCCCACATCTACGAAGAGTTCCTACCCACTAATAAACCTAGTATCGGGATTTTGCATAAAGCACTATTTCATAGGATGGGCAGGGGTGTTAAGTCAAGGCAACCTTTCTAGATGGCATTTTGCCAGTTCCTGTCAAAATTAAAAGTAGGCTTTTTCTTTCATCCAACTCTCATTTATTCACTCAACAAATATTTGTTGAGCCCTTTTTATGTGCCGGGCACTATTCTAGGTGATAAGACTAACACAGTGAGGAAGAGAAGACCCCTCTCATGTATTTTATTTCTATTTTTATTTTTTAAAGATTTTATTTATTCATCTGAGACACAGAGATACAGAGAGAGGGAGCATGAGCAGGGGGAGAGGCAGAGGGAGAGAGAGAGGGAGAAGCAGGCTTCCCGTGGAGCAGAGAGCCCGACGTGGGGCTCGATCCCAGGACCCCAGGATTATGACCTGAGCCGAAGGCAGACACTTAACGAGTGAGCCACCCAGGTGCCCCTCAAATGAATAAAATCTTTAAAAAAAAAAGAAAGAAAGAAAGAAATACATTTGAGATAGTGTTATGAGTTATTTAAAAAAAAATTGGCAGGGTGATGTGGTAAAGGGTGAAGGGGTTTGGAGTGGGGGCTACTTAAAAAAGAAGCCCTCTTTGAGGATGGCAAGAGGGTATCAGAGATTGAAAGAAAAATTTCTCCACGCAGAAGCAGCAGCATGTGGTGGGAGTGGGCTTGCTGGAGGGTAGAAAGAAGGCTAGTCTGGCTCAAGGATAGGAAAAGACAGGGAGACTAAGGGTACCTGTGGTATGTGTGGAGGTCGGATCATATGGATTCTAGGAGCCAGTCACCTATCTGGAAGCCATTGAAGGGCTTTAAGCAGAGGGTGACAAGGACTGACTTAAGACTTGAAAAAGACCACTCTGGTTGCTCTGCGGAGAAGGGACCACACAGGGCCAAGAGGGGAGCCAGTAAGAGGCCTTTGTAAGAGGCCAGATGAGAATGGTGGCTGGGACCAGAGGGGCCCGGGGATGGAGAAACAAGAGAAAAAACCAGCCGTTCCGGGTTAATGAACTGGACTTGAAGACGCATTAGACAGAGGGGCAGGAAGAGGGGAATAAAGGCGACCCTCAGCCTTGACTTTCCTTCAAAGTATTAGATCACCCTCGTGCACGAAAAGCACGCAGAGAGAAGCGTTCGAGCGTTCAGTGTACGCGGGAGAAAGCGGAGCGGCTGCAGGGACGCAGCAGAATTAAATCATGGCGCACCCACTCCACTGCGGGCTGCAGCTTGGGAAAGCAGCGTAAAGCGGCCACGAGGGACACCTCGTGGGACAGGCCGGGTGCAGCCGCTGCTCCCGCAAGACGGACCTCGTGTTTGCGTGACCGTGCACGGAGCGGTGTCGGAAAGCGGGCGCTGCACTGGGCGGGGGGTTCGGGGGCAGAGGCCGGTGCTCTTGGAACTTGTTTCGCGGGGCGCGCGGACGGCGGCCTGTCCGTGGCCGTCACTGCGCACACGGCCGGGCGTCCCGGGCCCCGCGCGGCTCTGCTCAGCCCCCGTCATTTCTCTGCAAATGGTGGGATCAGGGGCAGGAGGGAGCCTTCTTTTCACTGTCGTATACGGTTTGGATTTTTTTTTTTTCTTTCCACCATGTGCATGTTTTACCTTCTTAAATACATTAAAAACTTTATGAAAAGCTAAAAAAAAAAAAAAAAAGACATCGTTTCTCAAATTGTGTGCTAATTCAAGATCCAGATGCGTGGATTCTTCCTGGGACCTGCTGGATCAGAATCCAGGAAGGTAGAGCCTGGGACAGTGTGTCTTTATCTTGCCCCCCCCCTCGGGGGGGGGGGGGGCGGTTCTGATTCACCTGAAAACCTGCTGAGCTCCGTGGGCTGAGAGCTCAGCCGTCAAGGAGCAGGCTCACGGGAATCAGGATACTGGCAGTTCGTCCGTGTGGCAAAGACCAGGTTGTGTGGGGTAGGGGCGAGCAAGGTCCCTGGCATTTTGGCAGCGCTTAAATCCGTGGGTAAACAGCGGTCTAATTAGATGTCGGGCGCCAGAGACCGAAGGCCCCCTCGGCCCCATCTGGAACTACTTTGCCTTGCTGTCTCTGCCCCGTTGCCTGACTTGTGGGCAGAGGTGCGAAAAGCTTCAAGGGTGGGTAATCTGGGAAACCCCACCACTCTCCGCTTCTGACCCTGACGTGCGTTCTCCTCGCCCCCGGACTTCTCCTTTGGAGCACAGATACCGTCATGAGGTCATTAGGGAACGATTTAACGGTGGCTTTGGTCACTGCGATGTCCCTCCACGATGCCCGGCACATGATAGGGACTCCAGGGCGGGCTGCTCACGGAGGGAACGAATGAGCCTTACGAGATGCAGGAGACGAAATCTGGGCGACAGGAGTGGGAGTGCGGGGAGGGGGGCAAGCCGGGTCCGTGGAGGGTCGCTCCCACCCCGTAGCCCAGTGTCCGGGAGTGCCTGTGAACGTCCGAGAAGCCGCGGTGGGACCTTGCTTCTGGGACTTGCCCGTATAGGCGTGACTCCCTGTGGCCCCACGGAACGTCGCGTGGCTTCTGTCCCAGGAGGGCCGCCGCCGGGCTCCCACCAAGCCCCAGGAACGGGCAGCCCGAGCCGAGCGCCCGGCCACAGCAGGTCACCACCGGGTCATGTGTGTCTGCGGCGAGAGGGAAGAGCCGGCCGGCCTACGGGGAAGTGAGTGGCTGTTTCCCCCGTAAATGCGTCAGCGGACTGTGGCTTTACCCAAACTCTACCCTTGAGCTTGGACTGAGCACATCAAGTTCCAGTGTTTACCTTGGAGCGCACGACAGCCCAGTGGTTGGGACATTGATTGACCACCTTTGGGCCCGGCGAGCTGGCTTGCCGGGTGCTCAGCCCCCAGAGGACGGTCCCGGATGGGCACCCGTCTGCCCCTTCAGCCCCGCACAGAAGACACAGACACTTCCGCCTATTAAAAGGTTTAATTTCTTCTTTATGCTCAGAAACAAAGAAGTGGCCTTGCCCCCCCTCCCCCGCAGAAGAGAGTCTCCTCTCGAAGGAAAGGGAAGCTGTTGGTGTGAGGTTGAATGCGGGGGTTCCTTCTCCCCAATTTCCCTACTGTCTTTTCAGCAACCCCCTTGCAAAATTTAGGTTTGAACACAGCTTGCCACCCTCTGGGGGGTTTGGGGAGAGGCACAGCTGGAGTCCAAAGAGTAATGCCCACGTTCTACAAGAGATGGGTCCAGTGCGTGTCTGGGGGCGACTGGCAAGGGAGGGAGGGGAGGAGGGGGGCCGGGGAGCTGCGGAGTGGAGAGGCAGGGGCCCTCCCTCCCCCAGCAGCGCCCACCCCCTCCTCCTAGCAGAACTGGTCCTCGTAGTCCTCGTCCTTCATCCCCTTCAGCCGAAGCCGGGCGAAGTCCTCGAACACGATGTCATCGTCCGTGGCGTAGCTTGACGGTGGAGAGGGGGGGTGAGGTGCGGGCTCCACACCCTCATCCCGGCCCCCCGCTCCCCTCCCAGACACAGGGGTGTCAAGAGCAGCATCGGGATGGGCGCGTCGGTGAGAAGGTGACGGGCAGCCTCGGGAGGAAGGCTACGCCGTCAGCATTCGGTGCTTCAGCCCTCCCTGCCCCGGGGCGAGGGCAGATTCGGGGGCTGCAGGGGTCTCTGCCCACAGAGGTCAATGGTTGAAGGCGGGGGAGGAGTCTCTTACTTGGTATCAAATTCAATGAGGTTGGTGTCCACAGGGGCATCTGTGTCGGGAGCAGCTGAGGCGAGGAGAGGGGGTGG